TAAACAACTAATCTAGAAGCTCTGGAGATGATTTTACAAAGAAGAATGCTTCATAAAGTGAAGAAGATTATGGAAAACACAGAGCTTGTTGCTAAACAACAACAGTGTCTTCAGTCAGAGGCTTCTCCAGATTGGTGCAAGACAGACCGCTACAGAAGTTTCTTGCTGCCTACAACTATGAACACCTACAACAACTAGTTAAAGAAAACCCTCTCTGAGTTGCTGCAAAATTTAATTTCCCTTTACGAGTAATAAAATAATTTTGAATTGAACTGAATTAAGTCAAAAATTTAAATCACATGGTTATATAATCCATAGCAGTTATCAAGTAAAAAAAAAAACAAACAACAAAACTGTAGTTTGTTATGGTGGAAATGTTTCAGGCATCATCTGAAGAACTCTGACCATTCAAAGATTTAAAAAAAGGGAGGATTTCCAAGGTTTTAGGTTTTTGGGAATAAACGTCTTGCAGATCTAAACTTAAATGAAGAAACTTAAATGTTTCTGGCACAACTAGACTGACTCCCAATGAGCCGGTAGAGGATCAAACAACTGTTGAAATAAAGACTCAGAATTTTAAATGTATTCTTAAAGCATTTAACCCTTGAATTTCTGATTACAGAACAGGATGAGTATAAAAGGGAACCTTTATAGAGTTTAGGAAAATAAGCCCTACATCTGGTCTTAGTGCATACATTTTTTTTTTCTTTTTTTTTTTTTACTCCTGCTGGGAAAACAATATTAATTGTAAAACCTGCAACATTCTGTTGGCCGCGCTGTTGATTCCTGGCATTCATCCATCGTTTGTCCTGCCTTCTTGTTGCAGTGGCCTGTTTGTTGGAAAAACAGTTTCCAAAGGTCTGTCCAAGCCTGTACTACATTTCCTCTACCACTAACACTTGGAATGACAGTAGAAAAGATTGCTTGGAAAGAGGTGCAGACCTGGCGATCATCGACAGCAAAGAAGAGCAGGATTTCCTAAGAAAATTCCAGAAAAGGCTTTGGATTGGATTGACTGATGCTGATGTCGAGGGAGAATGGAAATGGGTCGACGGGAGTCTACTGAACATAAGGTTGGTAAATTGTGGATCAACGGCTCTAAAGTTGAGCGATACCTGATTATATCAAGGTTCACTGTGGGCTCTTTTCTATTTTTCTAAGGATAAAAAATAAACGTATGTTTTTAAAAAAAATGCTTCAAATCCAAATTATAAATGTGATTTTTAAATAAAATAAATATAAACATTTCGAAAGCAACCCACATCTGAGCTTGACAAGCAAAATTTTTCTTTAGATGTTCCCATGAAGACTGTTAGTTATGAGCATTGTTCAGTTCAGATGTTAACCTGTTCTTCATCAAAGGCACAAGAGAAATCTAGTTATCCGCCTGTGTTACTATCCTATTTGTAAATCAAAATTTGTTTCAAAAGATAAATACCTATCCTAGATTGCAGACACATTTGGGCCCACAAGATACACTGCAAAAAATATGACTATAGCAGAAATATTTTTGCAGAGTCAGTTTTGAGAATCATAATTGCCTTCCAAATTAGAATTGCCTATTATTGCACAAAGAACTCACTTCACATGCACTGTGAGAATACTGGGAGCATGGTTTAACACTGTATTATAGCAAAATGCATGTAGCAAGAGTGAAAATAACTTCCTTTCATCAAGAACAAATCTCCAGCAAAAACGTACAAGCAGCCTTCTACCAGGGCTGTAGGCTGATTTATACTGTTAAACCAGAGCGTCTGCGTGTGTGTTGCAGTGAACGCAGAGATGTCCTCGCCCACTCCGCAGACATTCTGGTGCACCTCTCCCAAATTGTAGGTGACTTCAGACAGTGCCGCAGACAGGAGGCCTCTGATTGGTCAAATCTACATCCGCTCTACACTATGCATATTTCCTGTTTGGTCCCTTACCAGCTTGTTTTGTTTGTATTACCTCCATTGTTGAAAACGACTCGTGAAGATGGACCGCTAGAAGATTGAGATGCGCGAGAACGCTGGGAGCCTTTTACCACCTGGATCCCTGCTCTTTTTCACCCTCATGTCCCTCCGTTGTCACAGAAACTTCCTCACCGTCTCGGCCGTATCTAGACCCACAGCTATATAGACCATCCTTCAATACTGGGCATAAATCAAAAGTATCTGTGACATGCTCACTGCGACACACTGCTGCAGGAATATAACCAGCCTTTGACTCGGGGTTCAAGGAGACAGAAGCAAACATACAACAGCAACATGGAACAACTAATCTATACATATTTTCTGTTTTAGCAAGGGTAAAATACCTTTACAATTGCCTCTGTCTGGGAAGGAAACAGTGAAGCAGAGCTCTGAGCCAATTTTCATGTCAAAGAGATGAAAGAGAGCACAGTTACAATAAAAGCCGAGCCCATATGAAGAGAACTTTGTTTCAAAGTAGATGGGTCTGTAATGCTTAATTTTTGGGCTACAACTAACAATTGTTTTGCAAATCAATTATTCTGTTGATTTTTTTTCAATTAATCAATTAATAATTGGATAGCAAAAGGTTCTTTAAGGAAGACTTTTTTGAAAATGAAACCACATGAAACTAAAAATGTTCTACTTGTAGGAGTTATGGATAGAGGATATTGACAGACAAAAACTTTTTTTTTATGATAAATGCAAAACGTTTACATATTTCTTTTACAATTTTGGTATAATTGTTACTCAAGGGGGGTTGCCCCGCCAGCTAAAAGCATGTTTCAAAGTCTCTATACTCCAGTTACAGATTAATCGATTACTAAATGAGTTGATGATTATTTCAGTAATCAATCATGATTAATCCGATTAATTGCTTCAGCCCTACTAAATTTGTAATTATCGGTAATTTGTAAATAACATTTTCTGCTCATTTAAAGTATCAGTGTCTGCAAAGCCAGGCATACACTGTACAAGTTTTTGCCCTTTTTCTGCTGATTCTCCAGTCGTGCAAGAATTTTTTGGATTTTGTTCATAAAGATATACATGGGGTAACTTCTATGAGCCGATTTAGCTGAAACTTGCACTGGGCGTGTGCAAACAGGGGAATTTTTCTTCTTCAAGATTGACAAGTCTGAGGAGCACCATCTTTTGGTGCCGAGTCTGACCTGTGGTTTTCTGGATGTACAATGTGATCAGTTAGTTTGCATCAGAGCATCGGGACATACAGTGTAAAAGCAACCATTATGAGCTGTGAGTTTTTAAACTTTGTGGTTTCATGGTACAGTTTGAGCTGTAGCTGAGTACAACAATTGAAAAATACGTACAGTATATAATCATTTTTGTATATAACTTAAAAAAAGACATTCTTAAAACATTGTGAAATACATTAAAAAATCTGATATTTACAAAATCAGAAAGGTTCCTATGCATACAAACCATTTCATTAATAAACATGGAGGTGACACAGCAGACACTCGCTCTCCCAAGAATGTGGTGAACTGTTCGTCTGAAAAGAGTTTGTCTCATCTAACTGTGTCATAATACAAATACAACTGACAGGATCTCCTAAGCATCCGGAAAAACGTTTGCAACGTTTGCAATGTTTTGGAGAACGTCATGTCGTGGGAAATCCCTCCAACGACTTAAAAATTGGAGCTAAGTTTTATAAAAATTCAAAGTTCTTAAAAGGCAGAAAAGTCTTCAAACAATGATCCAAAAATCAGGCAGAAGCAGCTGAATTCCAGGTCCAATGTGATTTATTGCAAAATACAAAGAATCACACACGAGTTGACCGCCGGCGAGCAACTGAACAAATGATGAAAATGGCCCTCTTTTATACACTCCTTGGGGCTTGTGGACTCATCCCACAAGCCCCCTCCTTTTCTCATCATTCTAGGTACTTTTTCTTCGGGTAAAACCAATTATTTTTATCTTACCGGTGGAAAACCCCTTTCAAAGCATATTTTTTATATATTTAATCAACAGTCTTTGTTACAGGTCATGGTGACATTTCTTTGCAAATCATGATGGCATATATTGCCATTAAATCAAAAACACATCATATTCTTAATTATTAATCTTTCAAAACAAAGCTTTCATCCAATGTAACTTATGATTATAACATTTCTTTGAGAACGGTCTTACAGGTCATGATGACATCTGGTGCACTTAAATCAGAAACATATTATAATTTTAATCAACAATATGTCAAAACTAAGTCTTTCTTCCAATGTGATCTAAGATCATAACATTACTTCAAACCAGGTCAGCATAATCCTGGTGTTCCATGTCCCAGTAAAACATCACCCTTTCTGTGACCAATACTGCATAGTGTGTTTTGAAGATGACAACTCAGTTTATCACAATTGGTTTAGCTGAGCTTAGCTGAGCTGTGCAACCTTGATATGACAAATAATTCACTTTTAATGAGTGTGCCTCTTTCACTAAAAAGGCCCTAACCATGTAGCTCTGCAGCTTTCCCAATCTTGGATTCAACCCAATACCTGCTTTTGACTGGATCCCAAACTTCAAAAGGCCAGGTGCAGAATCATACACACACTGCTTCTCTATTTCTCCCTTTGGCCTCCATAAATGTATTTATGAAAACAACTCTTTAAACATTTATAAAACATTTAATTCTGTTTTATTCTAATCATTGGTGCAGATTAATACACTACAGTCACACCAATTATCTGTCTGGTGGCTGGTTTGATTGCTTATTCCACTCACCTGTTTAACTCTGCCTGGTTTCTCATTACTGCTTATTTGATCCACCTGTTTCAAGCTCCTATATATTCTTTTCCAGCTACCAGTGCTAGATTATTCAAGCTGTTGGTGAGAATAACTTTGGCTACTGATCTTTTCTCTGATTTTCTGATTCTGACCTTTTTCTGCCCTGCGGAACACAAGTTTTGCTTTGCCCCTGTCTGCTCTGTTAATCTGCTCTGTATTGGACTGATTCCTGGATTCTACTGGCTTACCGAACCTGGACTGTTCTTCTGACCTCGGCTGGGATTCCCCTTCTGTACCTCATCGGCTGATGTTCTGATCCGTGAACTTGGTTCTGCTACGACTTCGGCTTTCAATATTCCCTTCTGGGCACTGTTGCTCCTTGGCATCAGCTGACATGAGCTCCACTCATCAGCTCCGCAAGCGGAGGACAATCTCCCTCTCAGATTTATCTCCTTCCTCTGGGATTGGACTGAACTCTGAACCAGGTCAGTGACTATTGCTTTAGTAGTCATCAGCCCTTTGTTCTTAGTCACTGACCTGAGTTTCTGTTCCTACAGAGGATCCGGTTTATCCACTCCAACTGACGAGCAGCCACACGCTGTTAGTAACATAAAAACTTTGTGAACTCATTCAGATCTGTCTGTTTTGAATATTACATCAAAGGTTTCGAGTTTCTGACATTATCATCAAACCACCCTGAATCCCTTTCACTTCGCATACAGAGCAAAATGATCCACAGAGGACGCAATCTGCGCTGCCCTCACCCTCCTGGAAAAGAAGGACTCTTATGTGTGAGAATTTTGTTCATTGATTTCAGTTCGGTATTCAATACCATAATACCACAATTCATCTGCAAACTGGACAAGTTGGGGTGAGCAATTTCTTCTGCACCTGGATGTTAGACTTCCTTACTCAGAGGCTCCAAGCAGTATGTGTTGGCAACTCCATCTTGAGCAGCAACATCCTTAACACAGGAGCCCCCCAAGGTTATGTGCTCAGTCCTCTGCTCTTCACCCTGCTGACACATGACTGCACAGCAATCCAGAGCTCCAGTCCCACAGTGAATTTTGCGGATGACACTACTCTGGTGGGTCTCATAACGAATTAAACCCACTACAGGGAGGGGCTTAGGCTTCTAGGCAAGTGGTGCAGCGACAACAATCTCCTCCTAAACATCAGTAAGACCAAGGACATTGTTGTGGATTTCTGAAAGCGCCACACCAACCACCCATCTCTAACCATCAATAGTGCTGCAGTAGAGACTTGGCAGCACCAAATTCCTGGGGGTGTCATGATTTTTGTCCTGCCCTCTTTGTGTTCACTCTACCTCTCCTGATCAGCACTGATTGTTCCCACCTGGGCAGCTCTCTACTTAAGCTCCTGCTTTTCCCCTGCTCTGTGCGAGATCATCTGCCTTTCACAACTTTCAAGCCAAGCTTCACGAGCCAAGAATTACCCTACCTGTCTCTGACCACTGCCAAAGTCCTGACCATAGCATTGAGTGAGACTCAATTTCTGATTTTTCTGATGAGATGAAGAGGGTTTTTGATCCTGTTTGTCCAGAGAGGGAGGCTGCAAGGAGACTTTTTTCTCTCAAACAGGGTTCTCGACCAGTGACCGACTACATCATCAATTTTCATTCCTTGAAGTCCAGTTGTCTTTGGGATAAGGAGGCTTTATTTTATGTTTTTTATCAGGTTCTGTCTGATGATATTAAGGATGCTACCCGTGATCCTCCCAAGACCCTCCAAGGTCTGGAACAGTTGGCTTCTCGGATAGATCAACGCCTTCATGAAAGAAAAAGAGAGAGGTCTACTTTCTATCAAAGAAGGGTCCCCACTGTCCAGGTCAGTCCATGCAATATGGCCCAAGCCTCTGCATCTTCTGCTGTGTTACCTGAGGAACCCATGCAGCTGGGTAGGACCAGGCTATCTGCTGAAGAAAGGGAGAGAAGGTTCAGAGATCGCCTGTGTTTCTACTGTGGTGAGAGGAATCATCGTGCCATTGGCTGTCCATTAAAAGGACAGACTCAGTAAAGCAGACGGGGTCTTTACTGAGTCCAATCTTAAGGTCCAAGAATCCTCCTCACAATCAGAGCACCATCCTATTTCCTGAATTCTCTCAAGAGCAGTTTCCTGTTTTCATTGATTCTGGGGCTGATGCTGACTTTATTGATGTCAATTTGGCTAACAAGCTTCATCTGCAGTTGGAGTCCCTTGAAGAACCACATGAGATTTTTGCCATTGATGGTCATAAAATAGATCTTATAACTCACAAGACTAAACCTCTCTCCACACTGATTTCAGGTAACCACTTTGAAAGGATCACATTCCTCCTGGCTCACTAATCAGAGATACCGGTTATCCTGGGACGTCCTTGGCTTATCAGACACAATCCAGTCATAAATTGAGTTACTGATGAGGTTCAGTCTTGGGGTCCATCCTGCTCCTCTGTTTGTCTGAGAGAGGCTCCTGCTATGAAAGCTACTCCTGAGATGGGCCAGGATTTTCCTGATTTGTCTCAGGTCCCCAAAGTTTATCATGATCTATATGAAGTGTTTAACAAGTCTAAAGCCACCTCTCTGCCTCCCACAGACATCACGATTGTGCCATTGAACTACGTCCAGGATCCACCCCTCCTAGGGGTAGGCTGTACCTCATATCCGTTCCTGAGAGGGAAGCTATGGATGAGTACATTTCTGTCGCCCTGAAAGCTGGGCTCATTAGAGAGTCCTCTTCCCCAGCAGGTGCAGGATTCTTTTTTGTGGGCAAGAAGGATGGTTCTCTTAGACCCTGCAGTGATTATCGTGGCCTAAATGAGATCACAATCAAGAATAAGAATCCTCTTCCTCACATGACATCTACCTTTGAGCTACTTTAAGGTAGCACCATTTTCACAAAATTGGACCTACGGAATGCTTACCAGCTGAACGTATAAGGGAGGGGGATGAGTGGAAGACTGCTTTTAGTACCCCTTCTGGACATTATGAATATCTGGTGATGCCATTTGTGCTCACTAATGCTCCTGCAGTTTTTCAGGCACCAGTTAATAATGTATTAAGGGATATGCTTAACAGATCTGTTTTTGTCTACATTTATGATATTTTGATTTTCTCCAAAGACCTGTCCTCCCATATGAAAACATGTTTGCAAGGTCCTTAAAAGGTTACTCCAAAATAAACTGTTTCTTAAAGCAGAGAAGTGGGCTTTTCATCAGTCTTCTGTTCCCTTCCTTGGTTTCGTCATAGCTCCAGGAAAAATCAGCATGGATCCTTCTAAAGTATCTGCCGTCCTTGACTGGCCTGAACCAGTTAGAGTTAAGGAGTTGCAATGGTTTTTTGACTTTGCTCATTTTTTTTGGCACATTATTAAGAACTACAGTTCTGTTGCTGCCCCTCTCCACAAACTAACCTCTACCAAGACTCAGTTTAAATGGTCTGCTGTAGCCAAACAAGCATTTGACAAACTTAAGGGTCTTTTCACTTCAGCCCCCATCCTTCGTTTCCCTGATCCATCAAGACCTTTTGTGGTTGAGGTTGACGCTTCTGATACAGGCGTTGGTGCTGTTTTGTCTCAGCGGTTTGCAGATGATGCCAGCTTACACCCATGTGCCTTCTTTTCTCGTCGCCTCACTGACTCAGAGAGGAACTATGATGTCGGGGATTGTGGACTCCTGGCTATCAAACTAGCACTTGAAGAATGGAGGCATTGGTTAGAGGGTCCACACATTTTACTGTGTGGACCAACCATAAGAACTTGGAGTACCTCAAATCTGCCAAAAGACTTAATCCACGACAAGCTAGGTGGGCATTATTCTTCAATCGTTTTGCCTACTGGCCTGGTAATAAGAACATTAAACTGGATGCTCTCTCAAGAGTTTTTCAATCATCTGTTCGTTCTTCTGGTTCTTAGCCCCCTGACTACATACTTCCCTCCAAGACCAGGTTAGCCCTAACCAGGATAGAAGCATTACTCAATAAATGTCGTAAGACTCAACCACCCCCAGCTCAGTGTCCCAAGAATCTTCTGTTTGTTCCTGAGAACATGGTTTCCAAGGTTCTTCAGTTCTGTCATTGTACTAAACTGTTCTGTCACCCAGGTGTAACTAAGACTCTGGCAGTGGTCAAGTCTGGGTTTTGGTGGCCTACTCTGAGAAAGGACACACGTGAGTTTGTGACTGCATGTTCCACCTGCTCTAGAGTGAAGTCTTCCCGTAGTCCACCAGCAGGTCTTCTGAGGTCTCTGCCTATCCCTAATCGACCTTGGTCTCATATCTCCATGGATTTTGTGACAGGACTACTTTCATCCCAAGGTAACACTGTTCTCCTAACTGTGGTGGAAAGGTTCTCCAAAAAGACCCATCTCATGCCTCTTCGCAAGTTGCCCTCTGCCCCAGATCTTGCAGATGTGATGGCCCAAGAAGTGTTTAGGCTTCATGGAATTCCCCATAACATTGTGTCTGATGGAGGACCACAATTCGTCTCCCGTTTTTGGGGTGAGTTTTGCACTCTTCTTGGCATTGTCATCAGTCTGTCTTCAGGTTTGCATCCCCAGACTGATGGCCAGACTGAGAGGATAAACCAAGAGGTTGAGTCTAACCTTCGCACCCTTTGCATGGATGATCCTGGTCAGTGGTCCCAGAACTTACCTTGGGTGGAGTATGCCCTCAATGGGTTACCATCTTGTGCTACAGGTCTGTCACCATTTCATGTTGTCTATGTTATCAGCCTCCAGTTCTCTCAGTACAGGAGCGAGGGGCTCAAGTTCCCGCTGCCCATATATGTGCTGGTCGCTGTCTCAGGACTTGAAAAAAGGCCCAAGCGGCTCTCTGCAAAACCAGCGCTATATATGCCCGCAATGCTAACCACCACCATTGCGGTTAGCTGCTCGGCCAAGGCGGTTATCGGCCAAGGATCTACCCATTAAGGTTGAGAACCGTAAGCTGGCACCTCGATTTGTGGGCCCTTTTCCTATTGCGAAGATTGTTAATCCTGTGGCTGTACGTCTTAAACTGCCTCCCTCATCACGTGTGCACCCCACCTTTCATGTCTCCAGGCTCAAGCCAGTTTTGTCGTCCAGATTGTGTGCTTCTTCGAGACCCCCTCCCCCTGCCCGGCTAATTGATGGGGCTCCGGCCTTTACGGTGAATCGTTTGCTGAGTTTTGAGCATCGAGGTCGTGGCATTCAGTACCTTGTGGACTGGACGGGATATGGTCCTGAGGAGAGGTCCTGGGTGGCATCTCGTCTGATCCTGGATAAGGGCCTCATCTGTGACTTTCATCGTCTGCATCCAGATCAGCCCAGAAGGGCGTTGAGGGTTGCCCCTTGAGGGGGGGTAATGTCGTAATTTTTGTCCTGCCCTCTTTGTGTTCACCCTACCTCTCCTGATCAGCACTGACTGTTCCCACCTGGGCAGCTCTCTACTTAAGCTCCTGCTTTTCCCCTGCTCTGTGCGAGATCGTCTGCCTTTCACAGCTTTCAAGCCCTGCTTCATGAGCCAAGAATTCCCCTACCTGTCTCTGACCACTGCCAAAGTCCTGACCATACCTTTGAGTGAGTTCTAACCTTTCTGATTTATGCTAAACCCTGCAAAACTCTGAATCTGAATAAGCCCCCTGGATTTTTGAAAACCCTCTGCCTGAGTGATCTTTTGTGCATGACCCTGGACTGAAAAGGATTTCAAACTGGATTGTAGATGTCTGTACCTCTGCTCTCATTAACCCCCAAGCCCTCAAGGTTCCCTACCACTAATTGGACCAAGCCCTGCTGGAGCTGAACCTTGACCACTAGAGACTCCCGGAACTGACAGAACCATTGTTTGTTATTTTCAAATAAATCTTTTTACTCAGTCTTGTGTTTGGCTGTGTGTTGGGTTCTGGCCTTTTCTGAAACCCTGACAGGGAGTGCATATCAGCAAGGAGCTGATATCACTTATGAAGAAAGCCCAGCAAATCCCCTACTTTCTGCGCAAGCTCAAGAAGGCAAGTTCTCCACAACCCATCATGAGCTGATTCTACAGGGGCATTATCGAAAGGCATCCAAACAGCTTCATCACACCGTGGAGTGGAAGCTGCATGCACTACAATAGCAAAGCCCTAGAACTACCAGGAATACTGGTGCCCCCACTACCGACCAGAGGTGTCAAGTAACGAAGTACAAATACAGTCAGGTCCATAAATATTGGGACATCAACACAATTCTAATCTTATTGGCTCTATACACCACCACAATGGATTTGAAATGAAACAAACAAGATGTGCTTTATCTGCAGACTTTCAGCTTTAATGTTCAGATGAACAGTGTAGGAATTACAACAGTGTGTATATGTGTCTGCCACTTTTTAAGTGTGTATGACATCATCCGCGCGCGCCGGCTACCGTTCATTCTTCCTGTACGCTGAACTCCTGCTAGTTTTACTCACATGCCTAGAAGATGTCTAGTGCTACTACCATAGGTGATCTTGCTCTCGAAATGGAATTGAACGATTCAGATTAGCTAGCCAAATAAATAGAAGGGGTAGAGCGTAGCCGCCTGGTGTAATGTACATTGATTAAATAAAGTTATTTAGAAAAAAAAAATCCAGTCATACTGTCATGATCTTGGTGCTGATGGTTTGGTTTTTTTCCTTTGCTCCTTGCTCCCCTGTCTAATTTGTTCTGCGGCTGATTATAGCCGATCATTTTCACCTAGTTCCTCTACTATTTAAGTTGTGTGTTTGCCTCCCATCAGCGGCAGGTTGTTCGTGTTTTTTGTGAGACGTTCCCTAGCATTCTGTAATGTGCCTGTTTTCCTGATTTTGACCAGTTTTCTGCCCTGAGGATTTCGAGTTTTTGCCTTGCCCCTGTCTGCTCTGTTTGTCCTGTCTGAACCTTGTCTCCAAACTTCGGCCTTGGATTTCCCTTCTGGACTCTGTTGCTGCTCGGCATCTGCTGCTCGCTCTCTAGGAACTCTGGGGGCGTCGCCCGCCGCAACTGCAGTCAAACCTCCGCGAACGGACTGAACTTTGAATCAGGTCAGTGACTTTGCTCCAAGTCGTGTTAAGCTCCACATCCAGTCACTGACTTGTATTCTCCTGTCCCTGCAGAGATCCGCCCCGCAGCAGACGAGCAGCCCCGCGCACCAGTTTGTTAAATAAACGCTTTGAACTTTCCCACTGCCTGTCTCGCCTTGAACTCTGGGTCCAATATTCTGAGATCATTACACATACACGCGGCGCTTTGTTTTTAAAACATATAAAAATAAAAAATATATCCGCGGATGTCTGGGGCACAGTGATTCGCATGCATGTTATGAATGCTGGCGTACCATACAAGAATAAATTATTAACCCAGCTGACCCAGCTTTATAAAAAAAAGGAAATTTTGGGGCATAGCCTTAAAAGTAGACAGGGTGTCTGCCTCACGGACTATAACTTGTAGTTGGTTACACAGGAGAGGAGAGTGGTCACTAAGACAGCTGGCTCCCATTCTACTTTTAGGAACCACTGGTAAACCTGCAGATTGAGGATAAGCATAATTTGGTAACGTTTTATTTTACAGTCCATCAATAACCATGTAATAACATGGTAATAACATAGCATGTTACACTATATTACTAGGTAACATGAAAAACTTTATGGAGAATTTTACTAAGTGCTGTGTAAATTTTAAGCAGACAAGGTAAAGTCAGACTTCTTAGATTTCAAACCGTTATTACCGGGTAACTAGACAGCAATAAATGAATGTGTATCTGTTAAAATGCAGATTATTACTTGGTATGTAACAGAAAACCAAACCTAGAAGACAGCAAGGCAATCTTCTTTACTAAACTCTTTTATATATGTAATTTGAGTTCAGTTTTATATTTGTAGGTGGTGGCCAATAATAGAAAATGTTATGCGGTAACCTAATGGTAATTACAATGTTACATAGTCACATACAATTGTAATAATTACATGCAGGTCATTTTTTTTTTAAATCATATACCTTAATCTTGAAGTAATTAGCCAAAAAAAGTTTTTCTTGTTACCAACTGCTAAAGCGCGACATGCTATGTTATTACCATGTTCTTACATGTTTATTGATGTACTGTAGAAGAAAGTGGTACCCATAATTTTAACTACAGACTCTGGACTTCCAGGTAAAGAGATGCTTTTCGGATTTATTTATTTTAAATAAGTGTGAATAAAGTGACTTTGGTCTCATGGGCTTATGTTTTCTTAAATAAGTTTATATGCAAAGCAAGCAATTTTTACATACATGCAAAACAGGCGTGTATTTTTTTAGTTGTGATAACACTGGCTAAATGTCTTTTTCTGAAAAAAAAACCTCTCCACTCTTGCAGGACATGAGGTTAACCTTTCTTCATTGCTGGACCAAAGGGATTATAAAAATTACTTTATTTTAATAACAAGCTCAGTGTTTATTAAAAAGGAAGTGATTATATGTCACATCTATAAACTTGTAGCGGTTAAACATATAATAATCGTGATGGTCAGAGATATGTTCCTCCCCGTTCTTTTCCATTAATTCTTCTTATGCATTGATCATGCACACTCCAAAGCATAACTGTGTGCCTGACCTGAACTAAATATAGGATGATTAAAGGAATAGTACACCCAAAACATGATTAGCCTTCATTTTCTACTCACCCCCCTGCTGAACAACACTCTGGAGTACTTTTTTGATATCTCAA